GTGCTGTGGGCCGGGCCGCGGGCCCTCACTGTGGAAGGGGCGTCTCTGCCCGCGCCGCCCGGTCTTCGCTAGGCATCCTCTTGGGGCCGGGAAGGCGCGAAGGGTGCGTGGCCGCGGTTAAAGCCCTTTGCCTGGGAGCGGGGTGGGCCGAGGAGGCCCAGAGCTCTGGTGATGCTTGGCCTTTCGGTGCCAGGGGCTTCAGTGCCCCAGCCAGCGCGGCAGCTCTTGGGGTCGGGGAGGTGGTGCCTCGATCCCCTGTGGTGCACAGCAGTGGTATGGCCACCTGACACGGACTGGGCACTGGTGAGACTGGGGAGTGTTACTTTTAGGGAGTATTTAATGGTTTTCTCCTTATGTTTGATTCTCACATCTTGTACGTACTGTGTCTCTCTGTAATGCTCTCACAGCAGTCTCGGAAAGGTCTGGTTAGGGTTGAGTATGTGAGTTTGCTAATGCTTTACATGCATGCAATAACAGGTATCTTATGTTTTTCTAATAGCTATTAGGTTATTGACAGTTAAGATGTTAGTACAAAAGACTGTAAGTATAAACATGAATTTTTTATTGGCTCTGTCAGTGCTGCTGGGGGGAACTCTTGTACTGAACAGCTCATCACTGTCACCTTCCAGAATTCATTACACAGTGCTCTGTTGGTGGAGCAATTTTTGTGTGAACAGTCCTAAAATCACTTCAGTCAGATTAGGCAGGCTAGCATGAATTTAGCTGTCTGAGTTAAGATAGCTTTACTTAGTCTGTGAAGGTGGGTTTTTTTTACTGGTCTGCTACAAGTTACTTTCCTTTTCTGTTTGCTGTTTCTGTTAAGTGGCATACTAGACCACTTGAATATGCCTTGTCCCCTTTATGGCAGCCTTAAACCATAGATAAAGTCAGTTTGATCCTTCTTGATTGTTTCTGTGTGAAGTGAATGAAGAAATTCTTAGACATTTCTGTCCTGTCTGCTGAGCATAACCTGCCTTCTTCCATTCCATTTCTGCAGCCCAGGGAGGGAATGAACAAGGGGGAATTGTGAGTTTAACTATTTCAGCCAGATCCTAAATTGTGTTATCAATACTTCTAACTGTTACTAGACTTTCAGAAAGAATTCTGTTAGGTGGGGTTTGTGTTTTGGTGGTTTTGTGTGTTGTTTGTTTTAAAGAGACTCTAAAGTACATGGGTAGTTGTACATGGGTAGTTTAAGGAGTCTGAGCACTTTGTTTTATTTGCCTGGCCTCCTGTCCCAAACAGAAAGGATGTGGTTCTGTTAAAATAATCCTCACTTTTTCTTTTGTTCCAGGATTCCAGAGGCGCTGCTTCTCTGTTGAAGGATACTATCCCAGTTATTGACTTTTCAGCTTCAGGATCATTTGAAGGTTATGATCTTCTACGTAGAGGGTACACTTTACTTTTTATTATTGAATTGTGCTGCAGCCAATGTTGAACTTCAGACATAGGAAGAAAGTGTGTGTTAAATGTTGGCTTTTTAAAGAAGGTTCTTCGAAGGTGTGTCACAAAAGCTATAGCCTGAAGTGCACATATTTAATCAAATTGTCTTTCAAGTGTGAATTTTCCGTGAAACATCACTTCAAGAAATAGATAACTTTATTAGACTTTTACCAGTGTGATACTGCTCTTTAGAAAAGAGATGGCAAAGTATTAATAATTGAAATATATGGTAGTTTTAATATAAATGTATGTAAGTGCTGTAGCACTGTGGGAAATGCTGAATTTCAGCATTGTATAAAAAGTAAAGTTAATATAGTAAAAACAGTGGGCTTGGGTTTTGTCATTTTACATGAGTGCACAACTACATGTCTTGGATAATTAATGTAAAATAAGTTAATGGAGTTTAAAATGCAGATAATACAGCTATGAGTGTGTCTGGAGGTATGTGCAGTATTCAGCTGTAAAAACTTGGAGACTTCTAAAGTTAGATACCATGTAGCTTGAACGTAAAAAAAAAAAATCTATGATGTTTTCATTTATTAATATTTTTCTCTGTTTTTGAAGGGGTCAAGTTAAAAACCTGTCATTTGGTTTTGTCAAACATAAAGAAAAAAAGATGCCCAAAATTTAAATTGTTTTTCTTCTGGTAGTGCTGTAGTTCAAAGTCTTATTTGCTGTTGCACTACTAAGCTTTTTTCTTTTCTTCAGTAGTTCAAACGGTGCTAATTGTGTGTCTCTTGGTTGACGTTTGTATCTGAGATTAGTTTTGGAATGTAACTTAAAACAATAACCCGGTTAATTTGAAGTTCAGTTTGTTTGGGTTTTTTTTTTTACTTGTTTTTCTAGTTTTACAAGTGTGAAAAGTGAATTGCTGCCCAGCCACCCGCTGGAACTGATAGAAAAAAATGTAAGTGTAATATCAAATACAGCCGTCTTTACTGTTCACTGATTATGAAGTTTAAATTAACAGCGTGCCTACCTGGACTTTTTTGTGTGGTAACAAATCAAGAGCAGGGCCCTGCCTTTAACTGAATAAAGATTTTCAACAGTAATATTTTATTTATACAAATAACGTTGTTGGCAAATGTGTTTAATGGCAACCTCCCACTTGTGACTCTCTTCACTTAAAGTATGTAAATAGGCTTCCAAATAGGGATTTATGTAATAACTTTTAGATGACTAAACCTTACTAAGCTAGTTTTGTATGCAGCCTCTGTAGTTAGGTGGGGGGCACACCTGTCAGTTCTGGAAGGCTGATCCTCCCATTTTGTCTGTGGATTTACCATGTATCTTCATTTTCAGACTTCAGGTCTGTCAACACAAATATTTTCATTAAATTACTCAATCCCATGTAGAAGTTTTACACACACCGTTTGTCCTAAGTATCCACAGTCTTGTCTGGCTTAGTCATCATTTGTGGACCACTTAAGAGTGGACTGTGAACCACGGGTTGAAGGTAAGGGCAGACTAAACTGACTGCCTTGGCTAAATAGCTAGTTGAACTGAACCTCGTATCTGGTGCCTGTTTTGTCAGCACAGAAGAGTTGATGCAATAAAATGTCCTAATGTAAAGGCAGTATTTGGATAGAAGGTTGCAAATTGCTAAGCTAATCAGCATGATGAGGTCCAGTGTAGTATTCTAATTCTAACCAGTGGTGGTGTTGTCTTGAGTTAAAGGGTGATGTTAATGTGACACCAACTTCATAAGCTTATTTATAAATACTGTAAATGTTTCAGAGCTATTAATTGATTTTTCTAGCTGTGTTATAACTTAGTTTTTAACTCTGTTTTGCTGTATGAAAACCTGCGTAATTAAAAGATTACATGCTAGAGAGAAAAAAAGTACAGAGATAATTAGAACAATAAGAAACAAAAATAATTAAAACACATAGGAAGAATGCGAAACTTAAGTTGTTTTTCCCACATATTGTTTGGATTGTTTTTCTGAAAGGCAGATTTATCCAAAAATTATTTTTGTGTACATTTGAATAGGAGAAGACTTGTCTTGGCCTGAGACAGTGAATGGTTATTTTTACTGCCATAAATTGTAGGTTATTCATGTAGCAGTAGCTACCCAGATAAGGACCCCTACTTTTATGAAGTAAAAGAAATGGAAAAATAACGTGACCAGAATTGTAAGATTAGGATAAGGCATATAAATAGTATTTTCTGATAACTTTTGAAGAACATGCAATATAGGTTATTATGAAGAATGTGTGTATTACGCCTTTGACTGCTGTTTTCGAGATACCTTCACATAAACTAGGTGATACTCTTGTACTAGTAAGCTTTTGTCATGATGATGGAGTACAGGTTTTAAAATAAGAAGCTTGCAGCTTTTGTTTTACTTTACAGTATTGTATTTTGTCATGTAGTCACTACTGTAAAAGCCAAATTTGAGACTGGATTACTCAAGCTTAAATTTAACCTTAAGTATAAATTCCTTTTGTGTACTTCAGGGTTCATGAGCCAGCACTTTTTGATTAAAAGAACCCTCTATTGAATAGATTTTCTTTGTTTTACTGATCAGTTTTAGAGCAGTTAGTAAAATTAAGAGCTTTCTTTAGCTTTTCAGAGTCACACAAGTATATGTGGTGCTCTGTCTCCCTACTTGATCAGAAAAGAAGTATTTCAAGTGTTTTCAAGTAGAGTCTTTGATGGCTAAAATAGCGTCAACTGTGGTTTTTAAGATTGCGTTCTTCCTTTAAACCAGACTTCCAATTCATGCTGACAATATTGCAGTAAAGTAGTGCAAAACTACACCACTTGGTGGTGTTACATGTCCTGCTTGTCTGAAGTAAGAAAATAAAATTGCTGCTATTGGTTTGTAATAAAATCCAGCAAAAATTCATTTTGGTTTCATAAAACAGATATTACCACATCATTATCTATTGTGTACGTTTGAGACACACGTAACAGTATGACTTAATTTTTACATACAAATTTAATAAGCATTAAGTAGGATGTAACAAATATCTTCTACGGCTATACTTGAAAGTAACTTCTTTTAAAATCAATATTGGTTTTGATAGTTCCAGTTAAATCAAGATAAAACGAACTTTGCCACGCTGAGAAATATTCAAGGACTTCATGCACCTTTAAAGCTGCAGATGGAATTCAGAGCAGTGAAACAGGTAGGCATTTTCATCCAACTGGTGTAACTTAAGCCCCTTGTTTATCTTGGAACATGCTTTCAGAGAGACATCTTTGTTGAAATACTTTATGTTTCCAAATGAAATTATTTCACTGGACCACTCTTACTAAAACAAACTAAGCAAACTCTGCAATTAATAGTCCCCAGAACAGCCAATATGCTGAAGGTTTTCAGCTGCTGTTTTTTCATTGTTTACTTGGTGAAGTGGTAACTGCTCTAGCTTTTCTGTTGACTAGCATTCTGTAAGGCTTCAGAGAAAAGTAGGAATAATTGACTATTAATTCCTAATATTAATACTCTCCTCTATGAAAAGGGGAATCTCTGTACCTTTAGGGAGAAGTGATTTAGAGGTCTGAAACAAGTAGTGGTTTGGGAGTGGATATAGAGGTAACATGAAACCTGATACAGTGCTTATTTTGTTCTGCAGCCTTTCTTGTAGATCGGGGGAGGTTTATAGGGAGTTAAGTTCAAAGGTTTTAACTCTTAGTTGGGCAGTTGTGTCTGTCTCCTTTTTCCTTCCTATCTCCTAGGATGGAGAGCAACTGGAGAGAGACTGACTTTGTCTCTTAAGAATCACAGAAAGCTCATTAGTCCTAGTAAACCTTATTGGCTTGTAGAAGGTTGTGAAGCTATTAAGAGTTGTTTTTCCAAATGAGGTAGAGCAATTCTGTACCCCCTCCAGTGGATCAGTTGCTACTGAACCACAGTGAGCTGCATTAAACTTTACAGAAATTACTGGTCCAGAAGATGTAAAAGACAGGATGTGTGAAGACATTCTTTGACTTCATCTGTGCCGTCTCATGACTTAGGTTAGCACATGGCAGAAAACAGGGCAGGTGAGGGTAGCCTGCTAGTTTGTCTCAGGTATTCTTGGGGGATAAATGGAGGAAACATGTTCTCTTGTGCTTTAATTTCACTTTCCTAAAATATTTACTGGAATAATATGTTTGAACTTCTAACAGTTGTACCAGTAGTGCTATGGAAATCTTCAACCTATTTTGTGTGTTTGATGGCTACGTGATAATTTTATGGTAATAGTATATGTTCGTGATATAACTGAAGTATCACTATTAGTAGTGAATGAAACTGTAAGTACAGATATGCCATTCTCAAGAGTATTTAGGATCTGAATGTTATGTGTACCACTCAGGTTTTTTTTTTTTTTGTAATACTGTGGGTGAAGGGTACAGAAGAGTGTTTAAAGTAACTGGGAGTGGACCTAAAGCTTAAAAAATGGTGGGGATCGGGGAAATAATTGTGATTTTGATTAACTGCAAGGAGGATTATGTTTAGATGTGAAAATAAATACAGCTCTTCCACTGACATTCCTGACTTGTGTTGGAGATGTAGGAAACTTGGAATGTGGTTTTCAAACACTGCAGTATATGTCAGTTGCCCAATACTGACCCCAAGGTGTAGGTGTGTTTGTTGCAGTGAGCCTCCCCAGCTTTATGTGGTAACAGAGGAGGACAAAACCTCCTCTTTTTTTATCTGTATGCTATTTGCTGTAGTAGCTACACTGCAGTGAAAGCCACAAATCTAGTGAAAGGTTGATCTTCTCAAAACAATAGATGGTGGTGTTCTAGGTTTTGCTATCTTTGTGTGCCAGTAGTTCTCTTATTTCATTGTTGCTTTTGAAGAAAGAAGTGACTTTGTGTGTTGCTTTTCTGTCTCTTCAGTCTGAGAAATACAAATATAAACTCCCTTCAATTTCAGACTTGCAAAAAAGACTCTTGTCTTTTTACAGGTCCAGCGCCTGCCATTTCTTCACAGCTCAAACTTAGCACTGGATACTCTGAGGGGAAATGATGGATCCATCAGTTTTGAGGATATCCTTAATGGTAATTCCATTGTTTTGAATGTTATGGAAACATTTAAAGATAAAATTTGAGAACTGTGAAGTTCTTTGCCTCTATGGAATAAGAGAATTAAACACAAAATAGGGAAAAATTGAATTCCTAAAGGCAAAGAAGCACTGGGGGAAGGAGTAATAAATGTTTTTCAGCTGTTAGTTATGTGGAAATGACTCTGAAATACTGAGTAAGACAGGATTTGCTTGTAGGCTGGATTTCTAAAGGAGTAGAAGATTATGCATTTATGTTGTATGCCTGTTTCCCCTTAAACTTTTGAACTACTTGTGCAGACTTTGACAGGTGGAGGTTACAAAGATACGAAGTTTTTGTAAGTCCTATAATTAAAGCTAGAGGAGAGATCCTGAACTAATGAACCAGAGATGTGGCAGGGGTGTTCTCCCCAGAATGAACCGAGCAGTTGGCAATTCAGTGGTGAACTGCTGCTGACTGACAGTTGGCATGTGTGGAATAAAATAAAGCTGGAAAATTGGTTTAAAAAAAATCTTTCTAGCTGGTAGCTAAAGACATGGAAGGAGGCAGAGGGTATACTGAGGAGGGATTGGGGAATGGAAAAAGCCAGGGAGATATGAAACTGGAAATAATGGAGGGGTAAGTGGGAATCTAGAAGTATGAGGTAAACCTGGGATTATTTTCTGGAATGGATTTACAGGGAGCATGGGTTATTGTGGTAGAGCAGTGTCAGCCATAATTTATAGGAATTTGGTTATTTATCATTCATTGCTCACAACAGGCTGTCACATATAGAGTGCTAAGGAGTGAGTGGATTAAAATTGGTATTGAAAAGGTTCTATTTATCGTCAGGGGCTGGATTAGATACTTCTGATGTGTCTGGAGTAATCTCAGGCATTACTATGCCTTACGTGTGGAAGGAAAACACACTGATACACCCATAAGGAGAGGTGCATTTCTTCCAAAGTGCAGTCACAATTTTTTTTTTGTGGGTTTCTTTTTGTTTGTTTGGTGGTGTTTTTGTGTGTGTGTCTGTTTGTTTGTGGGTTGTTTTATTATTAGTAGTACTACTTTAATTTTTTGTATGGTAATGTAGTTCATACTGTCGGTATTGGTATCTCTTGTGTCCTCTGCACACTTCTTGATAACCTTAGTGTACAGTAGCTAATGTTAGCCATACTTTACAGAGTGGAGGAAATGTTGGAGATACTTAAGGGCATAGAATTTCTGTGAAACTAGGCAGTTAGACAGAGAAGAGAAAGCATGAGTATGTCCCAACTAATAGAAGGGAGGAGTGTGAGTTCCTATTGTGCAGAGAAGTTGCATTGGAAAGAGATGTGGGATGTCTGTGGGGAAAAGCTTCACCCATACTTGAGTTTTCTTATTCACAAAACTCAGCTTTATGATTCAGGCTATAGGAGACTGCTGATGTAGCGCTGGTTGGTTTTACTTGAAGTGTGTGTGGGGGTCTTTAGGAAACACTGTTCCATTATAGATACAGTTGTTATCTGATCATTGCTTTGGATAGAGACCTGTGAGTTACAGATCTGCCTTGTCAGTAACTGTTGCACTAAGCATTAGAATGGGGGGAAATAAGGTCATGTTAATAGTTACTGTTGGTGTTTGTAACTTTGTAAAAGCCTCATGCCTTCAACTTTCTTTTTTTTCCCCCAGATCCTTCACAGAGTGAGGTTATGGGAGAACCACACATGATGATGGAGTATAAGCTTGGTTTATTGTAACAAAATGAACTCGACAAAAATGTTTTGTGTGTGTCTTTATACTGCAGATCTAAATACATGATACCCTGAACACACTGACACTCACAGTGTTAAGTAGTCCTACAGTTATTATTTGCCTTCCTTGATGAAAAGGCACATTAAATGTTTAAAGTCTACAAACTGTTCTGTGCTTGTTGTGACTTATATAAATGTCCTGTAACTAGGTACTTTAAATAATATGTTTTCATACACTGCTCAGGACAATAGCTTCTTAACTATGGAAATGCTATATATGTATACAAGAAATCCAAAATTACCCATGCATTTTAAAACTGATTACTGTAGGTAAATGCATTTAACAGATGTTCTTGCAGAAGAACTTTTTAAGGGGGAAAAGAAGGTGTTTTCCGTTGAGTAACTCTTTGTTCATGACAATTTCCATACACTTTTTAAACTATTGAATAAAAATTTGCTATAAGTGCTTTTGCGTTCCAAAATATATTTCATCATAAATCCTCCTATATACGCTTTATCCCTTCCCTCTTGACAGTTTTGCATGAGTGAGCCATTAAGCTTTTGTGTGGAATTGGAAGTGATCATTGTAAAAAGGGAGTTAAAGGTCTGGATTTTTTTTTTATCTGTATCCCTGAGAGGATATTCTGGTTTCTGAAAGTAGAAGCAAACTCTGCTTGGAGTTTAAAGAAGGTGCTTTAAAATCCATTTGGGAATGTAATACCAAAGAGCACTTTTAGACTTGGTATTTTAGTATTTGGAGGTTAAGAAAGAGCTTAGTGCCTAATTAGGACAGTACTTAATAAAGCTGATGCAGTGAGAAAATGAAGATAGAGTGGTAGTAGATGACACATACGGAATTCATTTTCTTTCTGGGTTTACCAAAATCAGATCTTAATTAAGAGCCAGTGAGACCTGTACTTAAATACAGCTTTTAAAGGAGTGGGCCATGGAAAGGGGTTTGTGTGCTTAAGTTGAGGGGGTTGTGTGTAATTAAATTTGGGGTTGTAACCATTTTTCTGATGCCATACGTGCGCATGTGTCATAAATCCTGCAAGGTAGCTAATGTGATGTGGCATACTAGGAGGAAAAAAAAGTCTGTGCTTCAAAAGATGTTGTCTTTCGTCATATGTGGGGAGCTTTAAACAATATTTTTAAGACAGGAACTGTCTTTATTCAGCAGGCTTTAATGACTTGGTTAAGCTGCCAAGTGCACCTAGTGTTCTGTTGTAGGTGATTTTAGCAGAAATGTTGCTGTAAACCTCTTTCCACAATCTCAAGTATCTTGTGCTTAAAGCTGCCACAAATTCCCTATCCTTGTGGGCCAAAACCTCTAGCTTTTGTCCTGTAAATTTTATAATGTGTTTATGTTCATCTGTTGCAAAACATTGCAGCAAATTAAAAACATTGAGATAACATGGTATGAGACACCTTACTGGTGGTTTTATATTTAGACTTGATTCAGGTAAGAAGTGAATCTTCTAGAATTATTTCACTTGAGAGTTGTGGAGATTAGAGGCTTGTGCTATGAAATACAAGTTATTTCATTTGTATTTTTTGCTCTCTGAGGTTAGACATAGGACCAATAAATTGAATGTGCAAGCATGGAACTACTTGCTATGACATTTTATGATTGACAAGTTTCTTGGCAGTTTTGTATAAAGCAAAAGTAAACTCTTATAAAGCAAGCTCGAGGTTCAGTAGGCCTTGTATTGCTAAAGGATCACAGAAGGGTTGAGGGATTACCTTGCCACTTCTGGGATAAATTAAGGCACAGGCATGGATTTTAGGAGGATTTTTAGGTCTGCCTCGCTATCAGCACCATTACAACTGATACAGAACAATCCCAAAGTTGTACAGAGTTACTGGTACCTTGTAGCTTCCTGCTTCAGTGTGCCCAACTAGCTGGCCTTTCCTGGTGTTCATTGAAAGATGAATACTATTGTATCTGAGCAAAACTACATTAAGACAAGTATTTTAACTAGGGTTTCTCACAGATTACAAGGTTGGATGTAATTTCTAGGTGGTTTTATTCATTATAATCTTGGGTGAGATCAAGCCAAATTCAGAGCAAGGAGGTTAAGTTGTTCATTATATCTGCAAGGAAGCTGATTTTAGGTGTAAGCCAGGCTGGAAAGCAAATGGTATGTGTAAGAGACATCCAAGAGCAAATGGCATGTGAGCAAAGCACTTGCAGATCCACTGGCCACGCAGGCTGCTACACAAACCTCCATGCTGACTTCTTGCACAGGCAGTGCTCTCCCTGCTCTGCAATTCCTCACCTCCTTTTAGTGCTGGTGTTTTGGAAAGCATCCTTCTCTCAAAGTGCAGGAGGAAGGCAGAAGCGTATCTTCCTGCACTGCTGTTTGTTACAATCCTAGAATACCAGGTTGGAAAGGACCTCAAGGATCATCTGCTCCAACCTTTCTAGGCAAAGCATGACCTAGACTAAATGTCCCAGCACCCTGTCCAGCGAAATCTTAAAAGTGTCCAACACTGGGGAATCCAACACTTCTCAGGGAGGTTATTCCAATGGCTGATTGTTCCCATTGTGGAAAGTTTTCCCAGATGATACCATTGTTCTGATAATTCTGTTTACATAAAACATTCCTCCACCAGCCATCCCATTGGCCATTTGTCAAAAACTAGGCAAGAACTACAAATACAACGTAAGTGTTAGAAAACCAAATTTAATTATCAGTGTCAAAATAATTTGCATTTATATACAAATAGAACAACTATTATAAACTTGGAAGATTTTAATAATCTGAAGTGCATTAGTACCTGGTTTCTTTACCTTGTACCATACTAGGCACTTTAACATGTCCTTCATGTGTTTTGACCTACACTTACAGCCAGTTCTTCATACTGCCCCTACAGAAATGCTTTGCAAACAGCAAGTACTTTGTACAGCAAAATCAAACTGTAACAAAGCCATTCCTGAAGTGTACGTGCTTGTTCTTATTTGCACCAACACACTGCCACTGCAGAACTGCTGTGCTTTGTTGTCACCTTCTGAGTGCCAGCAGAGGTGTGTGCTGCAGCAGCAGAAGTGAAGACATGCAGCCCTACTTCATTTGCTTTACTTTCTCAGGCAGTTTTGTGTGAAATAGTTAATTTCATAAAGCCTTACGGAACTGCATAATGAAGAGGCAAGGAAGACAATGTAATCTTTGTGCTGAAATCCTACACTAGCATTCTCTTAATCTCTCAACAACTACTCATTATGTTTTGGACCCACTGATTATTATAAAACTCAGCTCGCTCCTCCAACAAGTTGGCAGCAACTTGGGCAGCTCAAGGGAGCAAAGCTGACTAGTTGTATTTACTGGCTAGTATCTAAACTTTAATTGCCAACTTCAGCCTTGGTAGTTCAGGAAGTTAAGAGCTGGCTATAGCTGTTAGCTGTGTAAATATTCATTCCCCGTGCCCTGGATAAACAGCACTGTTTTCATCTATGACAGGGAGGCAGTAGTCTCCTGCATAATGTAAACCCTTCTCTACCTTACCAAACTTCTCCATGATCACAATACATAGCTTGGAAAAAAATGCTGTCATTCAAACAAAAACGATGTACAATAGTAACATCATGAGGTGGTACTGGTATTTTTTGGTGGAGTACCACTGAGAAGTTCTGCAGAAGTACTGTAAGCAGATGATTGATTATACAGAATATGCTATGTCTGTCTTCATTTTTATGCTACACTGTGTGTGTGTGAAGTCAGTTCACACATCATAGTTGCTTTCCTGGAGTTTTTCTTCTGTAAATGTCAACTGCTTTACATCATTTTGACTTCTCTACATTATCTGTTTTGGGGATGAGAGTCTCATACAACCTACCTGTGCTTTCAGGGATCAGAGCAGTATTGGCTGTCAAACTCTTACAGAAAAAAACCACATGGCAGTGGTCCTTAGCATGGTGTTTTATTTACACCATGTTTAAAAAAAACCCATGGTGTTTTATTTACACACTTCTGCTGTGCATTCCAGAAGCTAATACTCTGGATAATTTCTACTTAAAGATCTCAAGCAAAAAGGTGAAGAGTCAACGCAGAAACCAATTCCCAGGTTTGGCAGCCTCAACAGTTTGCAGTGTGGCCCTAGGCAAGTCACTTGTCCTCTCTTAATTTCTCTTTCTCTGTAACAGGGAGGATAATATCTATTGTGGAAGGAGATTCTTAATAGTATTTGTAAAATGCTTTGAAGATGAGAAATGCTGTTGAAGTGCTCATAAATAATGCTGCATTCATTGCAAGATGATTAGATGCATGATTCAGATTTGGTCACCTCATTTCAGGGTTGTTAAAAAAATTATCAAAGGTCCACTGCAAAATTTCACTAGAGGAAACATTTAAGCCAAGTACAGGCAATTAACTAGAAAACAAGAAGGATCTATGGGAGAAGAAACAGGTCTCTGTATCCAGATCCTAATATATAGAAAACTATAAAAATAAATGTGCAATATGGCCTCTGCAAATTGTAGGCAAAGGCCTAACTTCACACTCTGCAAACTGGAAAGAAGTATGACATTTCTGTGTGAAAATCCATTTTAAGAACTAAGTCACAGACAAGGTCCACACATCATACATTAAACTTGCACAGACACTTTCTTGAGAACTGCAGAGCAGTAAGTCTACTTACAGCAGGTGCAAGTACTGCCTCCAGTTGGGTTGCTTTCTGAAAAGACTACCTTTTAGTTTAGTCATTTTAGATTGGTTTGGGGGCTTCACCATTAAGACAGGCCTATTAAGATGTACACAGTTGGATCGCATCCTCAGCTGGCATGAGCTCCACTGGCTGCAGCAGAGTTGCCAGCACCCTTGGGGTTTTTCATAGACTCAACCAGGTTGGAAAAGACTTTTAAAATCACCATCCAACCTTTACTCCAGGACTGCCATATCACTAGGGGCCTCATCTACCTCGTTTTTGAGCACTACCAGGGACAGTGACTCTACCACTGCCCTGCGCAGCCTGTTCCAATGCCTCATCTCCCTCTCAGTGAAGAAATTGTTCCTACTATCCAATCTAAACCTCCCCTGGCACAGCTTGAGGCTATGCCCTCGTGACCTATCACTTGTTACTTGGGAAAAGAGATCAGCCACCTCCTCTCTCCATCCTTAGTTTCATGTAGTTGTAGAAAGTTGATAAGCTTATTGCTGTCACCCCAGTTAAAATGATACAAGATGCATCGCAGTCCACAGCTGACATTCTTAAACTGGAGAAAGGATAAGTGCAAAAAGTACCATCCTACCTTATTTTTTTTTGTTCATGGTGAAAGCAGCATTAAAATCTCCATTGCCAGCCTATTTGCCTAATGAAGTCTAAGAGCTAGCTTTATTAAAGTGCTAAAAAGACACTGGATATAGAGTGCTACCAGTTTAGTGCTTATTGCTGCAGGGCCACTTCGAGATTGCATCTGCAACTGTTGTGTACTCTCTGTGGTCTCTGTATGACATAATGGTCTCTGCCACTGCATGTCAGATTAGAAAATCCAAGTAGATGAATCCTTTGTTCAACTATCAACACTCTCTATGCTGGATACTTCTTCAGATACAAGCAGAGCCAAGTCCTCCTCATTCCAGCTTGTGCACAGAAGCCAGCTGTAAGACACAGATAAGATATCTTTAGCTGAGACAGTCAAGGATAGCATGCTGATTCAGCACCAACAAATGCACTTGATAGCTCTGTTACTGCCATCTTCTGTGGCTCAAAGCTGCTGAGGTATCCTAGTAAGCAAAGCAATGACAGTGCTTGCCCCTATTACAGCAATTAGACTATCATTACTATTATCTTTGATAAGCACTAAATACCTGGTTTATTACAGACTGGAACAACTACCCTTTCTGCTCTCAAACAGTAACACTGCATGACAGTATCAAAAGAAAGGTTCTAGAGAAAGGTTACTGAAAGGGTGGGATATCTGAAACACTAATGGCAGAAAGAAAAGAAAAATAACTTTCAAAAATCTATAGTGATGATGGACTACAGTCCTGATTGCAGGATGGACTAATTGATGGTAAATACCTGTTACATTCTGCATAGAAGAGAGTGCTTTCTTAGATTTCTCTACCATACATCACTCAACTAAACCCTCTGTTAATATAACTGATTTCCTCATTTTTTTATTACTCTACTGAAAAGTATTCACACACACAAGAATCCCTTGGGTCTGAGATCCATCACTACCTCAGTCTTAAGTTACCATTAGTGCAACTTAGAATCATAGAATAGTTTAGGTTAAAAAAAAACCTTTAAATGGAGTGGCCCAAAACTGAACACAGTATTTGTGGTGCAGTGTCACCAGTGCTGAGTACAGGGGGACAGTCACTTCCCTGGGCCTGCTGGACACACTATTTCTGATACAAGCCAGGGTGCTCCTGGCCTTCCTGGCCACCCTGGGCACACTGCCAGCTTCTCTGAATAGACTGTAAAACAATATAGTGAGGCAGGCACAGACTTGAAATTATGTGAAATGTTCTAAATCTAGAGCATTATCACTGCCTATTTAAAACTTAAAATGCAGCCGATGTAGAGATAAAGGCAATTGAGGTAAATCCTAAGCATTAGGAAAAAAGATGAAAGCAAGAGTACCACCCTCTTAGGAAAAAAAGTTTTCCCTTCCTGAGTATAAATCTATCTAATGAAAAGTGATCCTTCTGTCATTTAGATCTATGTTCTAGCACCCAAAAAAGATACCATATATTGGAAATAATGTAAAGTGAACTTCACTGCTGTGAATAGTCACAAATAACGATATTGCACTGTCAGTACTACTAGATGGTCATTAGATATGATTAGATGCAAACACTAGAGACTTGTTTTTTAAACATATCTAGAGGTTTATTCATATAAGCCCTTAAGTTAGTACAGAACTTTTACAGATTTTAATAGTACTGGGTCACAAAGTACCCATGACCAAGGACCAGGACGGATAACTTTCCATTAAATTCACTGGGTGATTGGTGATGTTTATAACCCTCACTAACATCTAGAAGAGCTCAGATTGCAAAATTAAACTCATGCCTTTCAAGTGATCTACTACTTTTGTTCTTCATGAAAGACTTTGCTGTAAGAAAGACCATGTAAAGATCTCAAAGCAAGGGACAAACACAACGTGCAGTCAAGGGTACAGCGTAATACTAGTAGTACATTCAGGGTAGATTTCAGTTTGGGGGTATTAGGTGGCAAGTTCACAACACAATGCTGAGGGGATGTAGATGGATCAGGGCCTGAATGGGGCTGATGATGGGAAATCTCCAGCAAAGGTGTAGAGGGGTAGGTGTTGAGAGAAAAAGCATGAAACTAGAGCAGACTAGAAAATACTGAAGTTTGAGAACTACTGCATTAAACCATTCAGGTCTAACGCACTTCAAAACAAAAATTACTGGCAAAAGCAGTCAGAAGCACCCCCTTGATCCATACTTACCATAGGGCAGCCAGTGGAATTAGACAAAGCCCTGCTGATAGGAGGAAGCTAAAGCCTGAAAACCATGCAACAGTAGCTGCATAGAGAACATTAAAAACTGAAAGTGAAATAGTGCCGATCACAACTTCTAAACAGGCAATACAAGCAAACACAGCACCTGCCAAAAACAAATGGATGAATTACAAACAGAACAATATAAAACTAAATCCCTTTCAAAGTACTGAAGTTTTTAAACTTGTTTTGAAAGATCTATCTACAGTATTTTTGCTGGTATGCAAGTATCAAGCATCCGAGTATCATGACTTCACTATCTTCTGTGGGGACTCCTAGAAAAGACTTGGCTTTTGAATGATAAAACCCCCAGCCAAAGAAGCAAAAAAACCCAAAAACCAATTTCGCTGATCAAAACTATTTTTCTTTGCTACTCTTATGTCACTATACCTGCTCTCTTGAATCTGCTAATCACATGAAGTTTAAACTGCTCGTCCCCATTAACCATGTTCTACACATCTCCATCCCTTACCTCTTCCCATTTTCCTCTCAATTTTTATTCTTCCCTGTTTCTTCCTTCTCTAATATTTACTCTTACATGTGGAAAAGGCTCTGATACAACAAAGACTGCTGGTTCAGCACAAAATCATCTCCTCAATTTTGAAAACAAAGAAACAACTTCTTTTTGCACTGAACTACCCATTGGGGTGGCAGCCTATCCCATCAGTGTCTTCTTAAACACATTTTCCTAAGATGCATTCATATTTCTGAGACCATAAACAAAATCAAAATAGGTAAGCAGAAAAGGATGACCAGGGGCAACCTGATTCCTGCATCAAACTACTCAAGTAGCCAAAGCTCTGAAGAATGCCAAGAAACTACAAAAACAAAGGTGTATGTTAGCACAGTTAAGTACAAAGAGATCTTTGTTTCAGTGTGTAAAGATAAGACTTTTAAAAAAATAAACCCAAACAAATTAGGAGAATGCTTCTAGAAAGTGTATGCTCCTCAAAAGTGAAATATGGGATACTAGAGCCACACTTTGAGGCCTGACATGCTTTTTTTCTGTGTTTCCTAAGGAAAGGACTTCGAGAAGTAATACGTTACATCTTTCAGGGCCCCTGAAGGCACCTGTGAAGCCACATACATAGCTCAGGATCCAAGTCTAATTGTTTTCAAGTGCCTTGAAGGTTGACCACCTACTGCTTACTTTTCTAAATTGTTAAGTGTGACATTGACTGAATAACAGAAATATCTCTCTCTCTGCATGCCAAATCTTGTGAATGTAGAAGCACTTGTAAAATCGCAGCGGTATAAATCTTGAGCATTTCTCTGCTTCAAGTTCCTCATGGTCTTTATTTTTAAAGTAATACCTCCTTTGAATGTTCAAACTCGCAGTAGTTTTAAAACATGTTGTTTATATTAAATCCAGAATCAAAATCCATTAATATCATGACACAGGGTCATATTATAGGGAACTTGAAAGAAAAGGAGTCTTAAAATGCCAGTACATATCTGTTTGTTTAAAGGTAGTCTTGGTGCATCTCTGTTCTGAAATACCATATTATTATATTGTTTAAAACCAAATTCTACTTACCCTGTTCACCAGTGAGAACCACTTTTGACAGCATGGCTCGGAGAACAGGAATAGGCATAAAGCAGAGCAAAGACGGCACTCTTACTGTAAAACAATGAATCAGTCATGAGATCTTGAAGTAAAAAAACCTACGGGATTTTACCAATACACTGCAAATGAATTAGTCTTATCTTCTGAATGCTCAGTTCCCCATAGAGTAAAAGGCAATAGAAAAGTCAAACTAAACATGCACTGAGAAACAATTATCCAAGTGCAGAGAAATTAGTAAATCTAATATATCCATATGTTACTAAAACCAAATCATAAGCAAGTAATTCCATTCTCTCTCCACACATTTCATATTTTAACTATATCCTAAATCAGTCTAACCAACCTTGTATATTTTACCTCTCTATGACCCTTTCAAGATGGTAAGTCCAGTATCTACCAACTGCAGTCACTACAGATAACATAGCAGTATTTTTATATATGTTGTTGACCATGAAACAACTCACCTAAAAACATGAGCAGGGTAGTTCTTGCAAAGGCAGCCATGATCATTCCTCCAATGTAAGAAAATATCCCAATAAAGACAATATAAATGTCTTTGAGACATTTAGAAAATAAGTAAACTCCAAGAAAACTGGTCAGCGAGATAGAAGTAGAGGCAGCTGCTCCATATCCAATGTATACTTCATCCCAGCACAGTGGCTCATCTAGCTCATACAGTGTAAAAAGCGAACTCCCACCAGTCGCAGTAAACAAATACATCATAAATGTAAAAAGCAACACAATTATTAAAATTCTCTTCTTGTAAGGGGAAGTTTTAAAAAGCATGTACACTCCAGAAAATGTCTCTTTAAGTAGTTCTTTACAGGATCCTGGTGCCTCATGCTGAAATTCAGATATACCTACTGTTTCTTCCAGAAAAAATATAATATAGATAATATTAACAGTGTGAAGCAGAGATGCTGTCACAAATGTCCATGTAAAGCCTATTCCTCTTAGAATATAGCCCGATGACAGCCCTGCCAATCCAGACACAATTCCAAAAATCAAATCCACCACAGCAATTCGTGTTGTTTTCTGCTTCTCATCATGACACACATCTGCTATATAAGCAAAACCTCCTCCAAGGAAAGTTGCTATACTCCCAAACAGTCCACTAATAAATGCAACCGCAAATAGGATAGAGAGTGACAAGGAAAAATATGATATTACAGTGAGGCAAATATTAGCAAGCAAAGCTCCCACTGATGGTAAAACTAAAGATCTTTTGCGTCCCTGGCGATCCCCATTAGCTACAATGACAAAGGCAACTATAAGGCTGGGAACAGCCCCAGTTAAGTCTAACTGCATATTAAAAAGAGAGGCTTTTTCTTGAACTACCTGGAAAGAGAAAACAAAAATGATTGTAAATACTATAATACATTGGAAAAAAATGTATATAATCTATAATAATATTACACTTGTATAATGATTAGCATGCAGTATAATGCACAGGACATATTTATAGATTATAAATTACTTTATAAACCAGAATACATACAATATAGATCTATAAAATTATGTGACATAATATATTATGCTGTAATAAAATACAGTACATTGTTTATGATAATGCATATTACAGTAATTGCTAAAACAAAGGAATTGCATATTCAAACACTCCTGCTTTTGTAATTTTACCTTTAATATTCCTCAAACATCCCTTGCTACATTTTAAGCAAGAACTTACTTCTTAAATTACAGACTTACTAATACTCTTGTTAGAGAAGTTTCAATAAAGGCAAGACAGCAATTCTTTTGAATGTGCATTTACAAGAGCACTTACAGCACTGGTGCTTATACTAAGTATCTCCTTCAGTACAGAGTAGGACAAAAAGACAATGTGTCTATTTTAATCCCTCAGAAATCAGTCGTAAACCAGTCTTTGATTGGGGAACACACCCCATGATCCCTATTCACAAGAGATCATTTTTCCTCCCAGATAATTGTAGTGAGAGGGGTTACAAGAAACAATTCACTGATGAGCACATTGTGCAAGTAAACAGATCAATAATTGCTCTGACATCCCAGTGTAAAACATTAATAACAACAACCACAAATGTGAAACATGGCATTAAAAATTATACTGCCTCACAGATATGTAAATTAACTATTTTTTAAAAACACTGGAAAGCTCCGGGTTCAGAAACTGTCCAGATCAGTGATGTCTCTATAGATATGCTACAGTTGGTATTCAAATAAGGAACAGCAACTAACACTATGACAATAAACTGTAAACACCCATTATGGGAAAAATTCCTTTTTAACAGGAGTATAAAAATCAAATGTAGCTGAAAAAACAACCAGTTAATGGAACACGAATGGCTACAGAAAAAAGAACTAAAGAAAAGATAATAATAATAAAAAAAAATGCTATCTTGTTATGAAGCCAGCTGCTAACTGATGCTCAGCAGGGCAATTCAGATCTTGCTTTCAATGCATTGATGCAGGCTAGACAGACAGAGCCATAAGAGCCCTCTCAAGGACAACCATCTGATAGAAGAGTAGGAGGGGAAAAGGTAGTAACTTAATTCACACAAACCCTTTATTCTCTGATAAACTTTCAGATGCAGAGAGTGAAGTCACTCTGAAAGTATTCTTGGAAGTTTTCTGAGGTATCCCACTGACTCAGGCAGGCATTGCACTCAACAGTCTGCAGCAGGTACAGCCCTGTAAGTCTTCCCAAGTCATTCTCAGCCTATACTCAAGCCATCTATCTGCCCCGTTTCAGGTGTTTCCTCTGCAGCTAACAAAATCCTCACTGAGTAGCATTCAAAAGATGAGAGAACCCTAGAATTTCCAGGGATGTACTTTGGGCAATCTTTAAAGCTGCTGAATGCTTTATATATTCATATTTGTAATTTACAGGCAAAGACCTTGAGATTCTAGTTCCATCTCTTCCTTTGTTTACAAGATACCAAGTTTTATTGCAAGAGGAAAATTCAACTGATCCTAAGGGCCGCAAGGAAAGCTCTCAAGATCCCCAGCACTCTGGAGTCTTTTACTTTCTACTTTCATGGTGTCTGACTACCTTAGGATTTGTGATGGATTCATCCACTAGCTAGCACTGTTGTCACCCTGAAAGGGTCAAACCCATAAAGACTGAACAAACCAAGATGGAAAATGATATTCTGATCTTTAACTCTCCCCTGCTGACAAAGAGCACTTGATGTAGTTACAGGCATTGCTTCTTTACTAGGATCATCATGTTCAAAGACATGTGCGTTAAACAAATGCTAATACATTAGAAATAAAACTGAATGTTATTATGTGTCATCTCAAACCTCATTAGCCATACAATACAAATTTTACTGCCAAATAATAATGAAGTGTAAAACTGAAGGAAAGCAGAGACTTGGGTTTCATTGTTTTGGAAGTAGTTGTGCAATATAAGGAACATGGCTACACACCCAGATACTGCAAATGACCATAAACTTGCTGACATCATAGATTTGTTTACAGACAGAAGTACAGGAAAACTCCATTTAGAGTGTAAGGCACTCAACTGCCTACTTTATGTTTTTATAAAGTCAATGAAAAGAAATACCTTCAGCTGCTTTAAAATCATATAACTTTATTAAATAATCAATGGAACTACATAACTTTGAAAAGAAATGTCTAGTTTTTTAATCTACAGATGCACTCTACTTGGAAAAGAAGTTGTACCCATGACGGACAGAAATAGTTCTTAAAATCACAGATTTCAAAATTTAAAGAATGAAAATGAATAAGCAATTTGCTTATTGAAGGATTATATTAAGACAGAAGTGTAGCACCTAAGGCTGAAGAGTGTACAGGACATAATAAACTAACAGGCTCATAAAATTGAAAATGCATGGATTGGATAATAAATAAAGTGGATGATAAATAATGTTTAACAAGATAGCTCTTTCTGAGATAATGAAAAAACAGAAGTAATTATCCAAGCCAATGATTAAACTGCTTCAGCTTGTATTCAAATGACCTTTGAACTCATTTTATTGTAAAATGACTAATTTCCTTCATAATCATAGAATAGTTAGGGTTGGAAAGGACCTTAAGATCATCTAGTTCCAACCCCCTGCCATGAGCAGGGACACCACACACTAAACTGTGTCTCCCAAGGCTCTGTCCAACCTGGCCTTGAACACCACCAGGGTTGGAGCATTCACAACTTCCTTGGGCAACCCATTCCAGTGCCTCACCACCCTCACTGTAAAGAACTTCTTCCTTATATCTAATCTAAACTTCCCCTGTTTAAGTTTGAACCCATTACCCCTTTGTCCTACCACTACAGTCCCTAAGATCACCTCCTTTGACCTGCTGGTCACGCTTCTTTCTAAACGCTGCAAAGACTATCCATTTTGAACTATATTCTATTTTTTTGCAGGCTCCAAGTGATTTTTGTCTTCAATTTCCTTTTACATTTTGGTTTGAAATAGGTGAGATTAGTATAAAGCTTCTCCATTTTCAGAACGGAAGGATTTATATTAAATCAGCTATTAAGGGAAGTGTTCTTCAAAAAGTTAATGCCAAACAGGACCTGTTGGGAACACTCCTGACAGCAAAATTGACAACATCTGCAAACGTAAGTTAGTTAGGATGGTCTTGGAAAATCCAGAACGCATACTGCACATATCCTCAGAAAAGGGGTTGGGACCAAGTTACTGGATCTAGTCTTTGACCCATACACAGGAGTATTACACAGCACAGAGACCAGGTACTGCTGAAATTAATGGGGATTTTACCATTCTTACACTATGCATTTTACATTCTTATACTATGATAACTAGTGTGGTACCAAAATGCAGACAAGACATCCAGACAAGAGTGTAATTGTTCAGAAGCTCATGCCCTGCTGGCAATCATTGAAATGGAGGGAATGGGAATTTGGCAGGAAAGGGAAATGAAGAGGTTCTATTGGTCATTATTCAACTACTGTCTTGAAAGAGTCGTGTTAAATATGAAGTTAATTATACTTTGTAACCTCTATGCCAAAAAAACTGTAATGTGTGAATTCAGCACCACATCACTCAGAGATGCTGCCTGAACTTCAGTTGAAATTAAGTACTCTGCTTCAGTGTTTTGCAAAAAGAAATATCAAAGTCTTATGTATCCTGAACCACAAGTGGTCACAATTTGAAAATCAGGTTGAATCTGGGAGCTTCCTGGCAAGTGAAAAGTGTAGAAATGTTTGTGAAATGTAGGTTTCTAGGTGGGCTCTGTGATTAGAACTGTATGCACAGTGTATGGTTATCTTAGAGCTGCTCCTTCCGCATGACAAAATGCCCAAACACAGCACCAAGTGTGGAGCCAATACTAAAGCAAACACTTTGGGGAAGTAATGTACAAGCATTCGTCAGACAATAATGGTTATTATCTCCTAATCAATTCCAGTGGGTGGCATACGGCTGATTGGTCAGCTGGACTACAATTCTATTGACCTTTTTCCTTTCACATTCTTTCTACTAGGACTGGCTTCTGTCACAGAAGGAAGAACCTATTCCATGCTAAAAATCCTGAATGTCTTTGAACACCTTCAGCCACTAAAAACGTTTTTTTACATACGACAAATGAGACAGATAATCTCAGGTGCTCAGTCTTGTGCATACAAAGCACATCAGAGGTTCAATCCTGGGGTGTGAGCAAAAATTTTCAAGTGCCACTTTTTCAGCAGCATAGGGAAATGCCCGTGACTGTTTCCATAACTCCATCTTCTGTGCAGTTTACAGTCTGAGTCATCTACTTTTCTGACCCTGCAATGGTTTCACGTTTGACTTAATCCAACCTAACTGCCACTTGCTGCCAAAGACGGTTCTGTTGCACCTCTTCTGGAAATGTGTTCCCTCTGCCATCCCCATGTTAGAAACAGCAACCATGTGGCCACACAGTGTGTCAGAGCAGTGCACTACTTCAGAAAAAAACAACACTCAAAAAGCAACAAACTCAAAAAAAGAGATGAGCTTTCTGTTGAATCAGGGCCCCAATCAAATCCAAATCATGACCTGTAACTGCAGAACTGCAATATACAACACAAGGAGGGAATAATGGGGGGAGAGAGGAAAGGAAAAGGACATATGATCATCTCTTCTGTTGGCTCTCCATACTTAACTTTGCTTAAGTGTAGCATTAAAACTTCGCTGGAAGTGCAATGGAGGAGATTCCAACCAACACCTAGCTATCCAGCATACCAAACTATGAAATAGTGCTAAACATGTAACTGACCACTCAGTGCTCTCACCTTGATGTCTTTGCATTTCAACAAGGCAGACTAGCGCTCTGAATGGTGAGACATCAATTATATTTGATTGTGCAAAGATCAGTTAATTTTTTTTCCACGTTTTAAAATTAGAGGGTTTTTTAAATTTTAATCTCCCCCTTTCCTCATCCTTGTAAATCATCTGAAATAAATATATTCTAAACTAGATCTTACTCCTGAAAATTACAGGACATTTGCTACACTTTACACAGTTACAAAGAACACTAGAAGTCACAAAAGACGGACTGATGGCTCATGAACACATGCACAAGTGTTACTGGAAGGAGGATCCCTCAGCTGTACCCACTGTAATGTCATCCCAATGCCAATTTGGTCCCAGATCTCTAAGATAATTTTCACCTCCTAAGAATTTATGTCAGCATCTGCCTGGAGACAAACTATTGCCTTTAAGGCACTCAACTACCTACAGTGCAGTACAAGAGCAATGAGACAGTAGTGACAGCAGGTTACAAAACCACTGCTTTTCTGTATATAAAAGGTTAAGTAAGGTAATACAAAAGGAGGTGACTCTGAGACAGCACGTCCTGGCTGTAAGTTTATTTACAATTGTTACTTATTTTCCCCCTCTTACCTTCTGCTCGATATAAGCCGGGCTACTTTTATTCTGCTCGCAGTGACTGACATTGCTATTGCTTACAAAAGTGGAATTGTACTCTTCTTCCCAGAGCTGCCGGTAGATGAACTGCTGCACCAGCGGGCTCGTCAGGGAAGACGCAAACACGTAGACGAAAATGACAGGCTCCACAAACAAAACCTTCCTCATTTCTGGGCCTCGGGTTTAATCCTGTGTATCAGAAAACAAAACGCAGTTACTCTCAGGACACGAAAGCACACC